CGTCTGTCCTTCCTGCTCGCTGCAACTGTCCCACCGATGTCAGTTTTATGCAGAGAAACCGGGAGCGAGTTGTCTCGGAGGCGACATGTGGAATTTAACTATTAATATTTTAAATGTAATTTAATATTATAACTAGTTGCTATTTAATGCATCAGATTCCTCCTGTAAAGCTTATCCCACTTTATTAAAGAATGCAGGTAGTGGGACAAGCTGTGACTTGCCTGCGACCGGGGTAATAGCGTTTTGTCTACACCACCATGTAGTTCAGTACGGGGAGCATGAAGGCTTGATTTTACAGGGGATGAAATTATTTTTGTTGCAGAAGTGCCCAAATTATGCCGGATGGAGGCTGATGGAGGACCTTGCAGGAGTCATCTAAAAAGATACGCCTTTAACTTGAGCTCGATGAGGTGTGAGGAGTTCATCTATGGTGGCTGTTACGGGAATGGCAACAACTTCAGAGATTTGCAGTCTTGTGTGGACCACTGTCTGCCAGAGAAAAGTAATGGTTGCTCCAAATTTTTAATAAAATAGATGGTTTGAAAGCGATATGAAGATGATATTTTATTTGATATTTTCCTCTGGGTACCCATACAGTGGTATTTTTTAAGACTTCTGTGAAGCGGATGTTTATATTGTCTGCAGACTTTCATGTGTCACTTGTCTCAGCTGTTACTGAAAGAGCAAAAATGCTGTGTTAGTGTAATATTGTGACCTTAAATATGCCCACAGCTACACGCAACCGATCTCTTGACTTCTAGAGAGCTGTACATGTGTAATCTGAAGGGAGCTAAGGTTGGAGATCTGTGTTGAGGCAGATGTATGAGACATTGTGGCAGTCACGTTCAGGGCAGTGATATCCTATTATAAAGTGGAAGTGCCTTTCTAAAATTCAGGCCTGAGAGATGGTATTAGGTGGCTTGGGTTTTTTGCACTCACCAGCTCAACTGATAAAAGTTTTTTGCCTGACATGACTTTTCACTGTCTCTCCATACAAGCTTTAAAGAAGAGAGGTGGTGATTATGAGCAGGTGACTATAGCTAAGTGTTGTCATAAACAGCAGGTTAATATCCACTGCCAGATAGGATCTTTGAAGAAGAGAGATCTACAAGAATGTGTAAAAGCTGTCACTGCCTAAGCTTTATTAGTGCTTGATGAGACAGTTATTTTTGGCTGATGACAGATTGTCAGCATTTTGATAGGTGAATGCAGAATTATTTTTAATTTCTCTGTTGCACATCCAATAAATTGATAGAAGGTCTCTAGCAAGAAAAGTAAAATTTTATTGAGGCAAAATGAAACATGATTCTTGTGAGGAAAGTGGTGGGTTTTGTACTTTTTTGCTGCAAGCAGGCAGGATTTGCTGGCAAAATCATAGCAAGGATAGACAAAATAGTGCCTTTTTCCTCTATAGAGGTAGTTCTACTGGAATTACTATATGTATATGGAATAAGACTTCTGGCCAGACTATGTAAATATCTCAGCTGTTGTATGTATGGCACCACAAATGGGGAAATCTGATGAATTTCACTTGTGGGATAGTAATCCTATTTTCTGGGACTGTCTGTTGCTTTCTCAAATTCATAACTCACAGGAATAAGATGTAGTAAGTCTCTGAAGTCATCGGTAACAGTCATGTCAGTTCAATAGGAACAAGAGCTGTTTAGCCACAAAATTTATTGCAGGGTAAATTTTAAGAAGCCAGGCATTGAGGTTACATTTACGTAATTTTTCTTTCTCTCTCTTTTTTCCCTTTCTTTTTTTTCAAGCTGGTCCCTTGCTATGCTATAGCCCAAAGGATGAAGGATTGTGTTCTTCTTCTGTTCCTCGCTATTACTATGACACCAAGACTAAATCATGTAAGGAGTTCAAATATACCGGCTGTGGTGGAAATGCCAATAACTTTGTTACTGAAACGGATTGCTACAATGTCTGCAGAAAAGGTAAGATTTTTTTGTATTTTGTCAGCCGCAAGCAGAAAAAGCAATCCGAATACTCACCTTGCCTTATTACAAGTGTGTGGGTTTTGCATTTTGGACTCCATGTTTTCAAAGGCAGGGAAAACTGAGATGCAACACTAAATCCTTCTGACAAGAACAGAGTGATGCGAGGTGGTTACACCATTTTTGAATGAAACGTAGAGAAGGGCACACAAAAAGACTAATTAACTTACTAGAGCCCACAAGGAATCAGTCTTTAAACTGTTCAGTACCAGCATGAACACTAATTAAGGTCTCATTTTCCTCCAGGTATTTTAAAGTAGGATTAAAGTAAGTTGTGAAATCAAGTTACTTTTTTCCTTCGCATTTTCAGCAGTTACCATCCTCCCTCGATTCCCTGCTGCCTGTTCCCATTTCCCTTTTCCATCACTAAAGAGTACTGCCTATTCAGTTGTGCTGAGTCAACTGTTTCTGTGGCTGTGGGGGGGAAGGGTTGAGAATGATAATTGATTTTTCTTAATGGTTTTATTCAAATCAGCTACTGGCTGTGCTTGTAAGTCAAAACAGTCGTGCTTTTACCTGCAGTCCTATGTTCATACCTGCTATTGCAAGTTTTAATACTCTAGTTTAATTCATTTGATATGTTAATCAATGAGAGAGAGAAAAGCATAATTATATGTTGATCCCCAGAGCACTCGCGAAGCAGACACAGCACAATATTTAAAAAATTGATATTAATGGGAAAAAAAATTAAGGCTGTATCTAACATGTACATCGACTTTGGGGAAAAAAAAAGCCAAAAAGTAGCTCTTATTTAAACATGAGATACGCACAAGGTCCAAGTACTTCAGTATTTAAGATGCGTAGTCAGAAGGCTTAAGTCAGGAGATGATTCTTCAGTTCTGGGCTGGAAATCCAGGGCTGGGGCAAGGGTTGCACCCCAAGAACAGTCCTCAGAAGTAAAAATATTGTCTGCCAGTTAGTCATGGCAGTAATATTTCTGTGGATGACAAGTCTGAGTGTGTCTCTGCCATTCTCGTATTATAAGAGAGTCTTTAATAGCATGCTAAGTCTATCTGAGATGCTTGTGATTATCTAATTTGCATCTATTACTACCTGGGAAATGGTAGGGCCAGGCTCCAGCCTAAGTGCGCAAGGAGAGGAGGAAGGAAACTGCCTCTGCAGCGTCTCGCCTCCACGCTCTGCCCCTGCCCACACCCAGCCAGAGCCACCTGGGGGTTCTCCCTTCCTCTTTTTGTGGAAGAAAGAAGTAAGGAAATGCTGTCTGTCTCGTAACTAGAGCACCAGATAGCCAAACGTAAAGGATCGGTTATAAGCTTTTTCACTAACATGGATTTCACAATTCAGTAAGGCTTGGTACAACCAAAGCCCATAGTTAAGGGCATAATTAGTGCTAATTAAAGTTGTGCTATACATATTCATTTCTATAGCTTGGGAGTGTACAGCAACATTAAGCAAATCTTTAAGGCAAACTTAAGCCACTCCTCCTCTCCCGCTCCCATAATTCCCTCCCCAGCATCTTTCCTGTTACCTTTTGGAGTCTCAAGTTGAATTCAGTTGACCTTCCCTGTGCAAATATGCAACTGCTGTTTGAATTGATCTATAGCTTTTGGAGTGAAAAGGTTTCTGATTCATTTCAATAAAGAAGCTTATATTGGAAAAGAAAATAAATACGTTGGGGTGACAGCGAAAGGATTGAGAACTGGCCACGGGGACTCTGCCTGCGGGTAAACAGGTGGCATAAAGACAAAAGATTTTCAGTCAGGTTTGCAAAGTACTTGTTTTCTGAACTGCATTCACACATTGCATGCGGCCTTTGTAAGCATTCCTGGAGATAACCCCGACTGCCTCTGGCCACTCTGCAGCTTCTGTGTGAAACCCAGTTCTGTGCAGAAACCCAGATCATTTTACCTTTTCATCTCCCACAAGCACTGGTTATATTTTAGACTTTGCCCCAGTGTTGCTCAGAGAAATGTAGTAATAGTTGTTTTTTTTTTTTTTTTGCAGATAGAGCAATGTGTTTACTTCCATTCTGCTGTCACTGCAGGACAGCTAGAAAAGGCTTTGATGCTTGCTTAGGAAAAGAGCAGCAAAGTAGGGCTCCGGTGCCAAAGGCGGACACATTGGAGACCTTACAGTGTGTGAGAATAGGGTGTCCAGAATGCATTTTACAGTTTCTAATATGTTTGTTATTATTGGATCAACTGCTTAATCAGCATAACATGAAAAAAAAAAACCCAAACAATAGAGAGTAGTAACAGTTTTGTCATACTGTTTCCCTAACTGCTTCCTTTGTTTTCTTAGCAGGGACTCAGAAACCAAGAATCAACAAGCCAACGAATGTATTCCGCAGAAAAATTATTAGAAAACTGATTAAAAAACCTCAGTCGTACAACCCAAAGTCTTAAAGCTGATGTGCACTTGGGTGTTTGAAACACATTCTTTTGATTCCACTTTCTTCTTTTGTAAGATAGTTTCCACACAGTTTTGTACACCGATAACAGTTCTGTCTTTCAGAACTGCTTTTTATTTCCAACTTACTTTTTATAAAGAACTGCATTTAATAGAAGAAGAATGAACCTAAGTTTGGTTCTTCTGCTCTGTTGTCTTTGCAGTAATACTTTGGCAAAGCCAGGTATTTAGATTTCCATGTTTTTATGGGGGAATGTTACTACTGCCTTGGGAGAATATTTCAGCTGTTACAAATCAATTAAGATCTGAAAAATCAATCGTCTTTTAGTATAACTAAGGAGAGTACAAAGCTAAATCTCTACCATGGATTTTTTTTGGCATCCTCTGCTTGCCAAAGAAAAGGAACCTTTCAAAAGTGTGTTCAGAGGTTTATTGCCCTGCCATTTTACATACTTTGGCGCTATCGTTTAAGTAGACCGTCCTTTACAGTTACGTTCATAGTCAAGGCTTTCAGAAGCCTTCATAACAGTAAAAGAAGTATAAACTTAAATCTGGTTCATTCCACAAGAGAAAACTGGGAGTAGAGATACTGTGATAAACACTCTGACAAAGGCAATGAATAAGCTACTTGAGTATTAAAATGAAAATATAGCCATTACTTCCTCATGACATTTGAAATTTCTGCTAAGTTACACTCCAGATCGTCGTATGGCATAAATCAGCATATTTTTATTGATTTCAATGGAGCTACACTGATTACATCTGCTGAGGATCTTGATATTTGTGTTTATGCAGTGGCTGTTAAAGCAGAAAAGCAGAAGCTTCTGCAAATCTCATGTAATCCCTTTTTTGAGGCACTATTGTATTTCTTGTGGTAGATTATGCCTATGGTGATATTATTGCACCTTCTCTTATGTTTTGTATTTGAGCCATGTCTGAATTTCAGTTAATTTCACCTACAATATTTTCTAAATATGAATTCATAAGTAATGTTAATAAAATGTTTTTGGGAAAAAAAAGGAGAGCTTGTTCTGTCATATGCTTCTGTTAATTATCCTGAATTAGTTGTATACACCAATATGTGTAATGGAACCTATTATTTACTAACTATGACTCTAGCAGAGTTTAGTTGTCTCTTAAATCATTTCCTTATGCTGAGGTCTTTATTTAAAGAAAGCCAGTAAATTGCATTGATGTCATTCATCCCCAGCAGTTTTTATGGCTCAGCTGGCTCTCCCTAAAGAGCTGCTCTCAAAGGGGTGCTTAGTTAAGCTGATTGTCTGCTGCTGGGTCTCCTGTTTGATGTTCCACTATCTGAAGAGCTTTTGTGTGGGTAGTGGACTGTTTGCTTGAAATGACATTGGCTTTCCGTTAGAAAATTTCAGGTGTGTGCTTTATCCCCATTTCGGAGAGGGAACGTGATGGGAAAACTACTTAAGATTTGTTTTTCTTACAGATTTTTCTCTCACTGCTGGATTTTCAATTAAAGCGGTCAGCTGTGCTTGCCGTAGTCTTTCTACCACTCCGTTTCTGCTTCTTGATCTCAAAACCCCTTCTTATTTTAATTAATCTATCGCTTAGTGCAGACGAATGAGCACACTCTGACAGAAAATTGCAGGTAACTAGTGACACAGTTTTGAGTGTTTGTCCCATACCAAACCTCTTCTCTGGTAACCAGCCTTCAAACAGAAACGGGGCCAGTCTAACCTCCCTGGGGGAGGCAGGGCACCCTACCCATGGACACTGCCCATGTCCCTTCCCTCGGGCTGTCAGTTTTGGCCATGCTGCTTAGAGCAGCAGCCCAGGGTGTCCCTCTGAATATGTTTTTTCATACCTAGCGCTATCATTTGGGGCACCCCAGCTGCATTTCTTGCAGATTTCTGACCATGGCTTAAAAGAACACAAGCCCGTTTCGGAAGTCAAAGTTCAATTTAAACACTGTTTTTAACCATAGAGGAGGGCCGTTTTTTTAACAGCATCACTGTGGGGTATATAGTCTCTGGTAACGTGTTTAAGAAATGGACTATTGCTCCTTACCTCTCTGGTCTTTGACTTTTATAGGAGTGTCTTGGGGTGGGATACAAAAGTGGACCTGGGATTTAGAGGGAGCCCAAAATCTGAGAGCAGCTCCATCTCACTTTACTTTTTGGTTTCAGAATTGGGTGCCTGGTCACACATCACGACATATCCTGGGCAATGCGATACCCAGATAGTGTCCTGGAAGGGATCCAAGAGTTAATCTTCTGCTCATGCCCCCTCAGAGGCTCAGCGAGAGCTTTCTTGACGGACTGGGCTCCATCCAGGAGGCAGGAGTGGCCGCTGCAGCCCTTTGTAATGCAGCTGCTCCATATGCTCTTTCTTTTCTTGCATAAAAACATAATTCAAAGTCCAAGGGCTTACTGCTAGGGTACACAGTGAAAAATCAGAGGCTTGGGTTTTAATCCCTTATCTACCTGATATCACACAGAAATTTAACCTAAACCATCCATAATTCTTGCAGGGTTTCCTAGTGAGCAGGCTGTGGAGTATTCTGGAGGATTGGAGGGGTAAAAGGAAGGGGGGAGGCCATGGAAGTTTCTTTCAGTCCCTTAGTGAAGCTATTCCACTTTGTATAAATTGTACCTTCTTTCCAGGTAAATGCCTTAATCTCTCTTTTTTTTTTTTTTTAGCTACAAAGAATTTCAGCTGCCACTGTGCTGCTTTGCTTCACGTTCTTACATTACTCTAATATCCCTCCAGACTCCTGTGGCTTTGACTAATCTAAATAATTCTCTATCATCTACAGCGTTTTATATGACTCATGACTTACTTCCTTTTTCAGTTTGCTGATGAAACAGCACTGGCCCAAGGTTGGGTCAACTGTTAGCATTTTGCCACGTTGAAAATTAATGCAGCCCATACCATCCTGCAAATTAACTTTTATTATAGTAGCCAGTGTCCAGCAGCTGGTATCGTGTGTCACAGCGCCAATTTCTACTGCAGAGGAGGGAAGCAGTGATTATAATCGGTTGGGTTCAGCTTGTCTTGCATAGGCAAACTGCCACTGAAACTCCTGACTAGTGATTTGCATGGGACAGTCATACCTGCCGCTGAACAGTGGTTGCTGAAATAGGCAATGACTAAACTCCATTGCAAATAACAGCACTGCTCTTTAACTTTCCATTGCAACCCATAATTCCAGTTCTTTTCTTAGTGGCATCTTGTGAAGAACTATATCAAAGACTATACAAATGAAAATGATTCTTCATCCTTAGCCTGTGGCAACACTCAGGGAATTGCTTTGTAAAGTATTTCAAGAGTTGGAGAGGGGCTTCATCTTTATATTTCAGTGGAATTTTAACTATCAAAAATAGAAAAGAAAAAAAATCCATGTGGAAAGATGTAATTTTTTTATTGATAATCTAAATGATGGCAAGGAAAATTTCACCACATCTATTTTAACAGTGATTGGCCCCAATAAAAGACTTTCTCGCAATTCCATACTTCAGGAGCAAAACGGCAATGAGTTTGGATTGTATCCCTGGAGTCGGATTTCTGACTGCCAGAGATGTCTCTGGTCCTCTATTGATTCTTGTCATCTGAGGAGGTGGAAAACACAGAACATTTATTTAAAAAAGAAAAATCGGTTGCTAGACACAATGGGCCACATAAAAAAAAAAAATTACTGAAGTTGTGTCTCAGCTCACAGGTGAAAGATTGTGTCCCCAAACTTGAAGTCAGCTATCCCGCTGAGGGCAGCAGTTCTGGGTCCAGGCAGTGACAAGAAATCTGTTCTTCTGGATAAATGCAGTCCAGCTATGGTTATGTAAATCTGGAAGAACCACATTGCGGATGTGCCAGAATTATTATGCATTTACATTAGTGTTACTGAAAGCAAAATCTGTCTCATTATCTTTCTAGAAACCTTTTTATTATTCTACATAACTGTCACTGGTGATACTTAGAGCAGAGATACTTGCTTCTAGCCTAATTTTACAGTGTATGGTGGTCCTGTACAGTAATGTCTATCATCTGATAAATTACTTCATTGCTGAGAGAAGGGGTGTTAATGATAGTGTATAAAACCTAATGAACAGCAATGATATTAAAAAAACCTATGTAAACAAGATGCATAAAAGCATGCTGTTTGAGGTATTAGCAACTGATGTGATCATGAGCTGTGATTTCCAAACAAATGCCAGAGCGATGAGCATTCCCAGCTCATGTCTGAACTATTCATAAGAGAGAGATAGTTTAGGCAAGTTAAAGACTAATTTATGAAGTGTAAAGCATTGTATCTATTGTGTGGGAATAAAACAAGTCCCTTTTAATGGAGGTTCCCTTTATACTGGCAGCACTGACCATAATTTCAAATGAATACGGACAAAATGGATGCTCTTCCAGACACAGCTGGTTAGGTGCCTAATGGCTTTTGTGTGAAGGGTTTTAAATGCAGTTTGAACTCAAAATACATCACATTGTCTCACTTGGTGGGGCCGAACTTCAAGCTGGTGAGCATATAGTAATATTAAGCCTTATTTTTTCTCATGCTAAATCCTCATTAAAGGCCTTAATATATTAACTACACATTAAATTCTTTCATATAAGTGCCAGCTGAATTGCAAGGTTTTTGCTCAGTGAGCTTTCTTGGAGGCTTACTACCTTAAAGCAAGTGTGCAGCATCTTTTCTAAGAGGACAATGAGTGATTAAACTTTCATATAAGTGCCAGCTGAATTGCAAGGTTTTTGCTCAGTGAGCTTTCTTGGAGGCTTACTACCTTAAGCAAGTGTGCAGCATCTTTTCAAAGAGGACAATGCGTGATTAAAATTTTTAAAGCTTAGCGTGAAATGCAGTAATAAAACTCAGAGTAACTAATAAATGCATGTGAACGCTATTCTCTATGGGTTATTTTTCTCTATGTGTGGGAAGCAAGATAAAGAGGATAGATTATACTAATAATAGCTATTTAAAGAGTCAAGAGAGTAAAGGGTGAAAAATATACCTCATTATCAAACAAGGAAAAAGCTTTCCATCATCATAATAGTTTTCAACAATGAGAAATCTTGAGTTTTGCTGATGTTAAAAAAGAATACTTTATAAAAATACCTCCAGTAGAAAGTAGTGAGACTAGGAAGACTTTTTTTCCTCTCTAAAAGTGAGAGGGAAGTCTGCTGAGAAAAACAATGACGACGAATGGTATTTATTACTCTGTCATGGATCCAGGCTGCTGCACTGGAGCACGAGGAGCCCGTACAGTTCTGCTGTGCCAGGCGGAGGGACTCTGCCATGAGTCCAACAAGACCTGGAGTGAGTCCCAACACTTTGATAATCTC